AAGAGCGTCTAGCGATCTTCAGAATGTGTCCTCTCAGGAAGCGAACTTTGGCAGCCATTAAGGCCAGCTCTGCCTTCATTCCCTCACATCCTGCAAGCTCTGCACCCTTCCCACTGCTCTCCTGCAGAGCACAAAGGGAACAGGACTCCCAGAGAAATCTACTGAGCCCTCCACATAACTCATCTCTGATGAGTCAGGTAGTTTGCAAACCATAGGCAAGGTGCCAAAGTTAGCCTAGGATTCCAGTCCCCGGTGAGAGCTAGCAAAGGACTGTGTCTAGCCCAATCACAGCTAATGAGCTGATGAATTGCAGAATAATTTGACACTACACATTAGTTTTGCTCTTAAAATTTCTTCACTCTCTCTGCATCTAGCAAAAATGTTCTCCTGTTCACCTCTGCCATTCTGAGAAGACTCTCAGTGGGCATGCAATGGTAGATGAGAAATTTCAGTAGCGCTAGTCTTCTCTAATGAAAGCAGAGGGAGGAAAAAGATCAGCCCATGACTAAGTAGCTGCTCCAGCCTTGAGGGTTTTAAAAACTTGCAAGGCCTCTGACATGCTGATCAAGCCTGAACAACAGCCTTAACCAAACCTCCAACATCACGCTTCTAACTTCTGAACAACAAAGCTCTCTAGTGAGTTTACATTATCTCGGTCACCATTATAAGGACAGGAAGGTAATCACAAGAATACCTTGCATGTATCACTGACCGTGATTTGGCTCGCTTTGTAAGTTACAAATGGTACCATTCTTAATAATGCAGAGGTAAAGGAGATTAAAAAGCGTCAAATTCTCGGTAGGACAAGGTTCTTGGCAATCAAGTCTAAAAGTCATGTCTTAAAAGAGAGGAAGTGTATTGGTCTGTATCATTTGGGGTCTGGACACAACTATGGTGTTGTGAATGTGTAAGAAACTGTTTCTTACCACAGGCAGTTATTGTTTCACTGTATTTTCAACCCAGTTTCCTATGGAAATTAGACTTACTGAGGCAATCTGTGTCTCTGTGTGTGGGTGTTTAGCTGGCAGTCAGACTGTTGCCCCTCCTTCCCTTAGTTTTGGAAAAGTCAATCAATCCTAGTCAGAGGTACATCCCTTACTGCTACGAAGAAAAGGTAGCTGGAAGAAGGACAGGTGGCTCTCTGTAGGGCCATCCCTGGGAAAGACTACACTGTGACCTCGATCCTTAATAGATATCAAAAAATCTGCATGGGAATCTGTCGTAGAGACAACATATCTACAAGAAACGAACCTTCAGTAAATTGTCTGCCCAATTCAGCTATTCCAGCTTCCGCTATTTAAGTGCCTCAGTGCACCAATCTCATCGGATTATTACACATTAAAAAAGAAGGAAAAAAAAGGAATTGGTGGGTTTTGTGGTCTTGATAAGTTGAACAATAGTTGGGTGCTTTGTGCTCTTACTTCCCAAAGTGATCCCTCTCCTGAAGGAAGGTGCAGATGTCTCCGACTGAAGGACAAACAGGAAAGATGATGGTTAATGTGAACACTGCATTGCAGCCGTGGAGCTGATGATTACTCACAAAGTACTTCATGGCTTCAACCAAGGAATTCTGCAGCAGAGTAAGCTCCGCTGATTTTAAGAGGCCCTGGGAAAGGTGGGCTGTGTCCTGCTGACATATGCTGGGGACCTCTAGTGCCTGGACTTGGTATAGGAAGGCTCTCAAAGCCAGGAACAGGTTTTGGAACAAAATGGGAGCAGCTGCCACACATGCCGCTATAACACTATATGTCCATCAGTGCTCCTGGCATCACCATCAACAGAGCCTACCTCATCTTCAGTCACTGCCTCTCTCTCCTACCTCCACCCCAAGCCTTGGGCACAGACCTCTGCAACAAACTTCCTTCACACGTCTCCCACCTACTGAGCACATGTGCATGCCACAGAGCCTGACAGCTGTCCCCAGCACCCTGGCCAACTTCCCTCCGAGACGCTGAGGAAAAACGGTTTTCGGACAGCACAGGCATGGGATGAGGAGTGGGGATCTACAGCTAGCCATTCACGTACTTTCCTAAGTTTTCAGTTTTCTATCTTCTAGTCCGTCCTTCTCCAAGAAAAACTAGTGTATGCCTGCCTGAGGCAGTGAAAATAGCAGGGACATGAGGAGGAGGAACAACAAATGGCCTCTTCGAATCTAGACATTTCTTGATCTTCTGTGGGATCTGACATGGCTGCCAGTAAGGTAACATCTAGGATTATAGGCCACTTCTTTGAGCCCAGAAGAAAATGAACTCAACAGATGCATAAATGGTGAGGGAAGCTCTGGGCTCCAAGACACTCATTCCTTTGCCTTCCTGCAGCTTGCAGGCCGTTACAGCTCCACCATGGTGGCAGCCTCCAAGATGCAACTACTGCAGTCAGTAATTGCCAAGAGCAAGAGAATATACGACCCATCCTCCTCCCTGCTCTGCTGCACCAGAGGCTGGCTAGTTAGATTCCCCAGTTCCCCTCACAGATACTAGCCCTAGTGGAAGTTTTCAGCTATTTAGGAAGAGCATCTAAGTGGCACCTCTCAGACTGCTGGTCCATGCCATGCATGGTGAGGAGAGAGATGTTGTGTCCCAAACTGCTGCCTTTCTAAGTGAGTGCTTGGTGCTGGAGTGGAGGCTGGACTAAAATGGTCTGCCAGAAATGGCCATGAGGATCCATTACCACAGCCTCCTCTAAAAAGTCTCCACTCATGCCTTCAAACCCCTGTTCTGCTCCAACACTTTCTCTTTCTGAGGTCTAATCTCTTCTGAGATCCACTGTCTGGGCTGGACTGCCTGTGAGTAAAACCTCATCTTCCTCCCACACCCTTTTTTCATTACCTGAAATCAATATCCTTTTGTTGTTAAATGAGGCTTCATCCTCCAGGTTTATAAAGTCCTCAAAAAGGAACTGCCTGGAGACTTGCGATTAGCCTCTGGCAACTTTTGGTCAGCAAAACCTGCTGCTGGACCTGAGCATGAGCCTCTAGCTGCTCTAGGAGAGAACAGGCGAAGAACACAGAGCGCAGTGACCACTGTGTGCATAAAAGGAGATCCTCATCTTTCTGCCTCACACCAGAGGCCATTTTCATACAGCCCAAACCAAACAGGAAGTGATATGCTGCACTTCAGAGAATTTGATCTGTATATGGAAAAAGAGAGGTGTGTGGAGACATGTGCGTACGTGCATGTCTATTTGTGAACTGGGCAACTACTGGGCTATGGATTGGTGTTTGTGTGTATGTCTTGGCTTGGAAGGTGAGAATGATGTGTATTTATTTGGGGAAATGTCTCCTGTGGTGAAAAGATCTCCTACAATTAAGCATTCCCCACAGGGCCCGTAAGGGTTTATCTATCTGTAGTGGAGAGGGAATATGAAGCTGTAGAAGGAAGCGGCTATATCTTTTGCATACCTTGTGGCCTGTTGGACAAGCCATGTAAAGCAAGCACAGCAGCTACTACAGAGCAGTGTTGCCTGGCTGAACTAAATGAGAGGCTGAGGTCAGAGGGGATGATTCCTTCACCTCCTATTGGGTGAGGGCATGTTTGGCTAGGTCAACAAACTGCAGGACGGTGATTCCTGTGGTGTCATGTCATCTGCAAGCATGAGGGTTGTGCCTCAAGCATGCCCAGATACAGCACTACCCTTGTTCCACTCCAATCTGACATGGGTCTGGTGAAAGTGGGACACTGGTTGGGAGGCTGGTTTCATTCTGGTGTTGCTTAGGTCAATGAACAGAATAATTTTTCACAAACTAGCCCACATGTCTCTACTGGGGATTGACTCCTATCCAGTTTCAAATTGATCTGTGCACACGTGCAGACCCTGAGAGTGATATGAGTGGTCTGTCTGGGTGCTTGGGTCTCTTGTTAGTGTCCCGGGAAGACAGGTCCCTTTCTTTCCCTTTTGCTCCTCAGCAACAGTTACATACTGGTCCCCAGTATAACCGAGCCCTGCAAACTAACACCTGATCCCTCCACCCTTGTTTCTGCACCTATTGCTCTACCAGCAGGAAGTAGGACGTGGTTTGGGGCTTTTTATTCTCGGCCTCACTAGCCTTTTCGATACTTCAGGGCCTCGTCTCAGTCTGACAAGGCAAGCAAGCGGCAGCTTCCTGTGCAAAGGTGAGAGGGAGAAGACAGAGAGATCGAGCACGTACAAGAGAAACAGCTCCACAGCCTTTTGCTCTTGCAGAACTATTTGGCTGGAGGCCCCTTTTCTCTCATGCCAGCAGCGCTGGCAGACAGGTGGACATGCACTGAGTGAGGATCCTCCCCCTGCCCCTCTCCCTTCCCCAAGTTTCCCTCACAGTTTGACAGCCAGCGCCTGCTTTCATCCAACCCAGCGACCGAGTCCCAAGGGACTCCCTTCATCTGGACCGCCTGGCAGCCAGTGTCTGGAGCTGGAAGGTAAAGGGGGTGATACCAGCTGTCTCCCACACGGGGGTGGCTCATCTGAGAAGCGTCTTGGAAGGAGTTTCGGTCTGACAAATTGATTCTTGCCGTTGGGGAGGGCTGAGCGTATATTTATCTCTCTGTCTCTCCACAGTCCTCTCAAATCTCATACCCCATATCTCACAACCACCCCAGCTGCTTTCTTTCTCTCTCTCCTTTGCCTCTGAACATGTTGTTGTCCTGTTTTTCTTCTGAACCCAGCCTTTTATCACAACTGGAATCTATATTACGCCTCACGCCAGCCCAAAAAAACTTCCTATTCCCCTGGCAGTCCCAGGAGGGTTCAGTGGCACTCTGTTTCGCTTTGCTCAGCCCTGCCTCTGCTCCAGGCTTACTGAGAGGTGAGGATGGTCCTTTCTTCTCTGGGCAGAGCCAGACCTCAAGGTAGGGGTGTCCAGATGGATGGGGCAGAGGGAGGAAAGATGGCAAGAGGCTTAGAATTTTAGGGGTGAGAAGCCCAAAACCCCAGTCTGTCCTGCATGGACCAGGGCTTTACAGGCTTTACAGGACAAGGAGTCCCCTTGCCACGGGTAGATGAGGGGTGCTACAGGGTTACATAATTACAAAGCCTGGATTTTCTGCTACACCTAAAAGCAAGGCTCCTTCCTAGGCAGTGCAGGGTCTACTAGGCAAGAATGATGCATGATTTGTGTATGAGTGCGTATGATTCTGTGGTACGGCAAAGCCTTGACTTTCCAGAACCTGATAAACTTCCCTTTCTCCCTCATCTTTTTCCTTGTCCCAAAAAAGCCATTCCAAATCTACCTCCTAAGCTATGTGCTCTGCCATTAACTCTTACTGGCAGCTGGAGGGCTCTCTTACTCAGCAAACACCTAGCTATCTCAGCCCTAGGGCTTACCAAAAAAAAAAAAAAAAGTCTCCAAAACGCAAGTAGTGCTTAACCAATGCAGCACTCTCTACCTGAGTCAGCAAGCAGCCTGAAACAATACATGCAGAGTGATGTGCACTCACACGCATTTCCAGAAGGCATTACCTCTGCAAACAGCCTGTGCGCCTTGCACTGTGAATGGTTTCAGGGCTGAGCAAAGCACCCAAGGCAGGAAAACTATGAGGTGCTGAGACACGCGCAGCCTCTGGAGTGCAAGAAATATGAATTTCTGAGCCTGGAAGAGTGACACTGGCTTTGAACCCTGCCCTGGGACTGAAGAGTCCTCCTCTGAGATGAGACCTTCCTAATGTGCATTGCTAAGCTATGTTGGGCTGGGGGGGGGTCTTCTCTCTTCCATTATGTCACCGGTACAGATGAAGCCCTCTTTGCTGCTGCTGTGCCACCTCTGGCTGTTCAGCCTCATACCTGTCTCACCGGCGTCAGACTCTACACAAGGTAAGAAGTGATTCTCTTCACCCATGCCAGGGAAAGATGTCAGCCAGGGGAGGGTGTGCGGCAGGTCACTAAGCAACACCCTCATTGTAACATATGACCAGAGGAGGTTGCAAAAAAGATCTCTTGCAAGTACATCATGCTCCAAGGACACAGAGCAGCTAGAGAGATGAGAGTCTCTGCTTTTCTTACTTGGAGGCAGTTATTCAGTAGAGGAATCGGTCTTCAGTTTGGGAGGGGGTAGAATTGTCTGTGTTGGCGGTTAATGCCAAATGGCATTGCTAATTCATCCGTGTTGCTGTCCATCTCTTCTCCACTGGCAGGCAGCTCCAATCTAACTTGTTGGTATGACTCACGGGCGGCTCTGTTCTGCACTTGGAACCCAGACAGGGATCTTGCTGAAACACCGTGTCAACTGGAGTTTTTATCAAAGTTAGGTTTATGTGACAGGTGGGTGACTGGAAAGGCTAAGGCAAGCCAATGCTTTGAAGGAAAAATATCCTGGAAAGTCTGCCTCTTAATGTAAATGTAGGCTACCTTCCCCCAGGCCAGGTGTTGTGGATTCGCAGAGATGAGGGCCTTTGCCTTTGAACTGTCACTCTCTAACCCTTTGCTGGCTGAGATGCCAGCCTCTGCTCAGTGTTCACCTTCTGAGGGTATTCAAAAGTCCAGCACAGCCCATCTTCTGCATTCATTGATCTGTCCATGCTTAATTTTCCAAAGAGCTCTGTTCCCTGGACTGACCCATTGCCAGGATGAGCTGGACATAACAGAAATGTTGTTCCTTCCGTGAAAATGAATTAGGAAATTTTTCTTCCCCTTATCCTAGTCTCCCCTGGCCCTTTCACCTCTCCTAAGTTCATGATGTTTTTCTCTGCCATATGCCACCCATCGGGGAAAAGGCATGTGGCCAGCACCACAGTAGGGGTTGACTAGGTCTCTGTGGTCTCCAATTCTGACATCTTCAGTCAAGAAAGGAGCCAGTTTGCTCTAGGACTTCCCTGCGTGCCCATCACAAGAAGAGGCCCAGTGTGCTTCTGGCAGTGAATAGGTCTCTCCTGACTTCTGGCAGTGATATCTCCTAATGGGAGTTGGGGTGGGGAGGGGGATTGCTGGATGCACTCTGAGACTGGTGCATGGAACTAGAAAGCCTAAAACATTTCTGTTGCTCCATAGGATTGAATCAAAAGGGTTGGATCTGGAATTGGGGCTGTGCTAGGAACTGTGCTAGGTTGACCAGAGCTCTAAAACATCTCCGATGTGTGTGCAGTCTATTTTGCTTCCTCTGCAGCAAACCACTCGCTGCAGGAGCAAGGACCAAGGACTGCGGAGGACCAATTAGCCTTTTGCCCTTCAAAGCCCTTTGGCTTGCCCCCCATAAGGGGCTGGGTTACAGCTATCTCTTCAAGGAAAGTAAGAGGCGAAGCTCTCCTCTTCCCACCATTGGCAAGCCCCAGGCCTGGTCTGACCTTACAGCTGGAGCAGCCAGCTCAGCCTGATACCCCTCCATCTGCAACCCTCCTGCTGCTCTCCCACTCTGTCGAGCCCTGTGCTATATCTCAGCTTAGGTGTTCCAGCCACACTTGTCAGGGGACACAGCAGAAGAGAGGCTATGGCATAGCACTGCCAAGCATGAGTTACAGCCCTGGCTGAGTACAAGATGGGACCTGGTTCAGAGGATACGTTTCAGTATTTGAAACACTACAGGAGGGTCAGTAGCTCAAAGGAGACCTGTAAGCCCTAGAAGGGATGAAACAGACACTTGTCTCCCAGGGCCACATTGACACAGCTGGGGGCAGCAGCAGCAAGCTCTGCATACCCTTTGTTATCAAGAGGAAGCAGAGGAGGTAGCTGGAGGCTTTTGTGAAGCCAGAGACTGGAAATCTCTTGCCATCTTTGACTTGAAATAGCTGGGATGCAATGACTTTCCATGATCCAGCGCATGAGAGATGTCTGAGTTATGTGGTGGGGAGGGAAAGAAGGGGACGATTTCCCATTGCAGGATTTTGCTGTAAAGTTTTCAGCTAGGTTGGTGGGACGCAGAACACTTTGAAGGGCTTCTTATGTTACATAAAATTTGACTAAATGCAAAATGTCCTCCCCAGCTCATTGGTTATTTCCTGCTTAAAACCCAGGTCATTTTTCCCACTTGAAAATTTCAAGGAGCACTGTGAATTACCCAAGGCAGAACACATAACAGGGCTTAGGACATGCATCAAGACCTTCAGCAAAAACATTAATGTAAGTAATTCGTCTGAGATATCCTGGCTAATAACAAGGCAGGCGGGATCTATATGTGATTTTGGGTGTATAAACAGTGTGACATAGTGTCAAACCCAGGAGCGCTGCAAAGAGCCCAAACCTATTCCCTGGCTCCAGTCCTGTGGGCTGACTTGATGTTATATGTTAATATTCACCACCCTTACGGGTTCCCCTGGTGGGGGGGGGGCTGAATACATTGTGAGTTGGGCCATGCTGTCATGACACATGCAGAAGAGGTGCAGAATAGACAGATCACATGCGGTGTCCTATGTCATAATTATCTGGGCTTGGCCTTATTCCCTTCCTCTGAACAGGAATGAACGTCAGCACTGGATCTGAGGTTACCTCTAGACCACGTTTTCCTTAAAAAGGTCAATACCGTTTTCCAGGTCATTAAGTACTGTAAAGCCTCTGGTTAGATGTGTCAGATGCAAGCTGCAATGGCAGTGCATCAGAGGAGCCAGTGATGAGACAAGTCTTCTAATTATTATTACTTATTTAAATCAGTAATTTGTTAGGCTCTTTAGGTACTTCCGTCAGTCATACCCCGAAATTGCTGTAGTTTTTGCGTTTTCAGGAAAAAACAAACCAATATGAGCTAATTCTCCTTATTGCTAAGGTCATAACCAGTTTTAACAATAGCCAAGTTTTCTCATATTTGCATCTCATGTGCAAAAATGAATGTCGAACTTGGTAAGCAGCTCCAAAAAACACTCTTTAAAACTCACTGCTGTATGATACACATAACCCTTTAGTATTGCTGTGGAACCACGTTCTATCAGTTTATCATAACCTAACTGCTTCAAGCGTAACATTTAATCCTAATATTATCTTAATCTTACTGATGAATGTACAATATTTCTGTCAAAATATTTTGTCTCACAAAACATGTCACTCATTTTTCCAAAATAACTTTTTTTCCTGCTTAGTCAGGATGTAATAATCCTAGCAAAGTAAGACATCACAGTATTTAGTGCCCTGCTCTCCAAAGAGCAAAAAAAAATCCATTCGTATCAAACATAAATCTTTGGTTTCTCTATTCACCTCTGAGGCTTAGGCCTTTCAGCCAAAAATTTCACCCTTATTCATTGTCAAGTAATAAGGTTCCTAAACCTCTTATATGCAGGCAATGCATAGAAATATGAATGTTTATTAATGAGGCTTGGGTGTCACTAATGGTAATTTCCCCTTGTAGACTCAATGCTTCACCACTTCAGACCGTCTAACCATAGCTGTACACTGCCAAGTTGGAGAAAAGAGAACTACACTTGAGCAAAAGAAGAATTTCAGTCCACTTGCAAATAGTAAGTGCTCATCTGTCTTGCAGTCTCTGGAGCTTCCCCATGAAGTGATACCTAATTTCTCTTCCCCATCTGCCCCCGTGCGACACTCGTAGTTGATTTTAGACCTACCTCTTTTCCTTGCCCCCGCAACAGCTAGCAGAGATGGACCACACTGCCTCCTGTCACTTGCACCTCTGACCTGTAGTGTCATGCCAGCTACTGTAAATGGGACACTGTTCAAATGAGACACTCCTATAAATGGGACATTGTTCAAAGAGGGTGCTTTGCTGAGAAGAGCCAAGCTTTGCTAGATCCCTGGGCTAATGTTCTTAGTAGCTGTCATTTGCTGTAGGATTTCTGGCTTCAAACAAGCCATGACAGCTCAGCTGACCCTCTGAAAAATATATGCTGCAAAAAGGAGAGAAAGTATTGCTGCTCTTCCCATGCACTTCCTCCCAGACATGTGCCTTCACCTTCCTTTGAGCCAGCTTTGGCTTGTGTCACAGACTTTGCTGAAACTATTCAATTCACTAATCCAGCAGAAAAACATCCCCTTGGGTCATTTTTTTTGCCAGAAGTGTGAGTTCAACTGGCTCAAGAAGAGGTTCAGTAGGGCTGCTGCAAGGTAAAGCACAGGAAGGCATGGCTGGGGTCAGATGCTTGGGAGGATCAGCCCAGCCAGTCTGTGTAACTCCATCCCCGGTGGCTGCAGCTGTAGCTCTCTGAAAGAGCAGCTGGGAAGTGGCTGTCACTCCAGCAGTGCTCCACTCCTGTCCATACAATTGCCTCATAGATCATCCCTACAAGATGGGATGCTTGGCCATGTGGAATTGCAATGTCTCCAGGGACCACACTCACAGGCCCGCAGGAGGAGCTGCCCTTAATGTAGTCCAGAGAAAATAGGCCTTTTGCCATCAGTGTCATTGGGGAAGAAGGAGGAACAGAGAGGGGGGGACTCATTAACCATCTCACTCAGCAGTGTTTGGCAGGAGTCTGTGAATATGGCCAAGACACCAATCCTGCTTCATAAGGTTTTCCAGTGGAGCCCAGTTATGAACAGACAGGACAGAGGTATCAGCCTTGCTCTCTTTCTCTTTCCAGTCAAGCTGAGGCCTCCGGAAAATCTTCAACTGATTAGGAACACTGAAGACACCTACAACTTAACATGGACCCTGAATATTTCCTCTCACTACTTAGATGGTGAGCGGGAATATCAAGTGCGGTTCCGAACCACGAGTCAGCCCTGGGAGGTGAGTACAGAGCAAGAGACTAGGGCCTGCCACCGTATGGCTCCTGGCCTTCCTTAGATCATCCAGGATGGGCTGCTGGGCAGAACAATCCTCCCCTCAGGAGAAAATCAGTTTTAGTGAAGCTGGAGAGGGGATACCCCCCACTTTTAGATGTGTCACCTGCTGACAGTGTTTGGTGGTGACATGGAGGCAGATGGGAATCCTACTTTACCTGGTGCTGTGACAAGAGAAATTCAGGCAGCTCCAGGACAGACCTGGGAAGGGATGAAAAGAGCAAAGAGGACTTGTCCTCCAGCATGAAAAAGCAAAGCTCGAGGAGGAGGGCTCTGAGATGGGTTCTTTTTGAGGGCCTGACAGGGATGGATGTGTCAGGTTGTGAGCCACAGCAGTGTGGTGATGATGCTCAAATTTTTTCTCTTTCCCAGGAGGCCAGGATCGTCACCATTGTGCAGGACCAGATGTGGGTAGTGTTCGAGAGCCTGTCCCCCAACCTGAAATATGAGGCAGCTGTCCGCGCAAAGCCAGGCGCCTCAAGTACCTGCAAAGGCGTGTGGAGTAACTGGAGTGAGACAATATTGTGGAGGACGCATGGTAACAGTAAGGATCAGAATCAGGCAATCTGATTTGGAAGGAAAAGGGGGGACTCAGAGAAGGAAAAGAGGGGAAAAGGGCCAAAGCAGGCTGGGAAGGAGGAGGAAGAAGGGAAGGGAGGAGTGCATTAACTGAAGAGCAATACAAAGACTGGAAGCTATCTTTCTCTCCTAATCTTACAATTAGGCTGACTTAATAGGATTTAAGGACAAAAATTACCCCCGGCCCTGGTAGAAGGAACAGCAGTAGTCCTTCTGACTCCCAGAGACCAGGCAAAATCCACAAGATGTAAATAAGTGCCTTCTTCCTCAGAGCAGTAAGGCCAGATGTATGACCTGCAGAAGCAGTGGGTGGGACTATCATTTCACCAGGTGGCCATGTGACCTGTGAAAAACCTGCTAAAATGGCCCAGTTCAATAGAGTAATGGATCACTATGATGCAAACTCCTAAACTTAAGCAGACCTGAGACTAAGAATCGAAGTCTCATGGAGAATGAATGGGACTTACGTGCGTGCACCCATTCCACAAACATCCCACCTAGATGTGTATCAGTCATTACCATGAACCCAGCATGGAAGACACCTCCTGCAACCTTGAAATATAGTGCCTTGAGCAAGTCTCTGTGGTGAGTCACTGGCCCTGGTCTCTGTCATTTCCTCTCTGGGAAATAGGTAGCTAGAGGTTATTCCACCTCACGTTGCCCCCACTCTGCCCCTGCTTAGCCTCTCCCTGTTGTGCTTGGTACTGGTATAAATGGAGGAGCTATGTTTAGAAAGGGCGCTGTGTTGCTGTGGCGATCAAATTTTGACAGTGTGTGATGTCAATGAATAGGATACAGCCGCAACCAGTTGCCATAGCAACCAAGACCCAAAGATAACCGGGGTACCAGAGGCAGAGGAGACAAAGTGATCTTAGAAACATCTCAAGGACAAGCAAAGAAATAACTTCTTAAAAATGTCTCCTTCTGTTTTTCACTGCTTCCCCACAACTACTCCAGAGGAGCTCTGCAGGCCCAGACCAAGGGGCACTAGGGATGGAGGGAAATGAGGCAAAGGATATAGACAGCAGAAGAGCAAGATCAAGCAAAGGTGCTTTGGGGAGATGTGTGTAAAAGAAACAGATTAAGAAAAGTTTTAGATGATGCAAGACAGACCGCAAAAGTGCTGGCAGAGCTGGTATGTGGGAACTCTGTCCCCTTCTCCTACCCCTACAAGCCAAATACCTAAATGATCATGTGGCAGAGAGCTATATCCTGCCTAGCCTCCTTAAACTCTCTCACACCTCTCCAAAGCCAGCCCTTCTCCATCCTTGGCCATCCTACTCTCTAACGAACACCCATGAATCCCATGACTCTATCTCCCCCACCAACATATAGTCACCTCTCATGTCCCCAGCTCCACTGAAGCTGATTTTAGGACTCTCTGTTTTCCTTTGTAAAGAAATGGGCAGGATGATGAATACTCCTACCAGTACACTGTGGCACCTCATCTGCAGCAGCCCCCAGCTGAGGTGCTACTACAAACAAGGAATTCAAGCTGTTCAGCAAGGAACTATTTGTTAAACCATGCCAAGTGGACTCTGAAATCCATCTCAGCTCTAAGGCATCCTAGACAACATAACAGAAACCATTTATCTGATCTGTATCTCAGGTGATTTTTTTGGCAGAGAAATATTGTAATACTGAAAGGCTCACTTTGACCAGCTTGAACAGCCACAGGACTGCAGCTCCAGAATCCTGGCTAGATTTTCACAGCAGCTCCCTCTTTCTCTTTCATCTTGCAGAAATATTCTTCCCGGTCCTACCAGCTCTTATTGCAAGTACTTGTATCTTTGTGATCATCGGGACTGCCTTCCTTGTTAACTTGCGGACCCTAAAATGGTAAATGGGAGTCAAGTGTTTCTATCTGTTTCTGTCCTGTTTCCTGCATGTCTCCCCAAAACCCAATTTGTTTTTTACTCAGCATTGCTCTGGACAAAGAGGGACTCCTAGATATGGTTTATAGCCCAGCCTTTTGAGGTTAATATCTGTCTGGGGAGATATATCACAACCCAACATTATATGGTGCTAGTAACATTGTCATATTGTGCCACTCTCATGTAACATGGTGCCATGGCCTTATTGAGTTCGAAATAGCTGCCTTGGCCCTTCAGTTGCCCTTGGATTAAAGCGATGTTCCTTTTCAGGGATGCTTCGGAGGGATGCACCAAAATTGCCTCTTAAAAAATAGGCCACTGGGCTGAGCATTCTCTCCAGAGAGAGGACCAAACAAGCCAGTAGGTACTACTGCCTTCTCACTTAAACTGTCTAGCAAGAGCTCAGGCAGAACATAGTGATACTTCATCTGTAGGCAGGACCCCTGAGTGAACAGTACAATTTTTCCTCCATGTGGCCTATGCAGTCCTAAATTCCCTCACCACATGCTGGTAAACATCTATATGATACTTTAAAGACCTCCTCCCTTTGCCACCATTTATGCCCAGACACTGCTCTAAGTCAGAACTGAATGTGTCTCACAAGGTTACCCAATGTAATAATAATACAGAGAGTGACCTGTCAGCAAACTAGGAAATGGCTCCAGGTTGTAGTTTCCTCATCTCAGGAAAGGGACAGAGAAACAAGGTGCTAATGTTAACGGCAAGGAGCAGGAAGAAATGCTTTCAGGGAAGGAAGGAGCAGAGTCTGGGATGGCTGTTCTATAAGGAAAGAAGGAGGAGCATATTAAAGAAAGATGAATATTGAGAAAGTCAATGGTCACTATGGTTTACCTTGAGTCATAACACAAAGGTGAGGAAGTGCTAGTTATATGGCACACAGATAAAAGGGCTCCATTCTCCACAGAGTATAATTAACCTATGGGATTGGATGAAGGATAATGCTGAGGTAAGATCCAAGGAAGGATTAGATATGCATGAATAAAACTAGCATCTGCAGTGATGTAAGGTAGTTTATATGCAAGAACTATCAAATTTTTATGCTCCAGAGAGTACAGTGATTGCCTCCAGAGGTCAGGATGGTCTTTTCTCAGAGCATCCCACTGCACAGCTTCAAGAAATAGCTGACAGGATCAGCCAACCTCTCCAAGTAACAAGGAAACAGATTAAATCACTTTGTGCTGCCCCAGTGTGATAAAACACTGGTTCCAGTAAAGCAGGAGCAGCTGGACTGGTGCAAAACATGCTCAAATGGTCTTGCATGCCGCCGCATTCTAGCTAACAAGATAGGCATTTACATGTGCCACTCAGGCCCTCCGCTCTTCTGAGTCATTGTGGGGGCAGCAAAGCAAAGAGGCGTGACTCACAGCATCTAGACCTTTGAAACAAGGGAGACCTGCCCAGCGTGGCAGAGTGGAGGGCCAGGTGGCTTGGCCAAGGTGACCAGCCAAGGTGGGGAAGGCTGTTGGCTATGCTTCCCCAGAGAAAAGGCTGAGGGGAGATTATTTTCCAATGCCAGTTTCACCTACCTCTTCTCTGGGTGTCTTACCCAACAGCTATTGCATTACTGGCCACTCAAGAGCAAAGAGATCCCTCAGGCTTGTTCTTCTTTTACCGCACTCACATGCCATGGTAGTACCCACGAGCTGCAACACTCCAGTCCCCACCACAGTGCCATAGAGGTCAGAATCAGGTCCTGCTTCACTTCTCCTTCTCTTTCTCACTTCTCAAGGTTTAAGAAGATGCTGAAGGTTCACATCCCAGATCCCAAAAAGTTCTTTCCCCCGCTCATCTCAGTTCACGGAGGTGATGTTCAGGTATGGTGCCAGGGTTGAAGCCGAGCGGTTACCAGGGAGAAAGGAAGGAAGGGAGAGCCCAGCTGTACATGCCTTGTGAAGATCCCAGGTCCTCAGCCCTACATGTGCACTCACAGCTCGTGTTCCTGCAGCACCAGCTGCTGGGTTCTCTGCTCAGGTTTTATTTTTTGACCTTCCTTTTTGACCTTCCAAAACTTACCACTTGGCTGATGCATCTCTAATTACAGAACTGAGAAATGGCAAGCCACGCAAACCTCAGCACCCTGCTTTACTGACAGAAAAGCCTGAGAGAATACAAGGGACCTGCAGGAGGGAGTCTGGCCTCTCAGATCCCCTCCCACCCAGCTTCTGTCCTGCTTGCCTGCTCTAGAGTGTCCAGCTGTTCCCCAGATTTCTTGCTGTGATCCTCTTCTTTTGGTTATGAGCCTTACCTCTGGCAGAGTCAGCCCCCTTCTGCTCCTACTGTTAATTGCCATCACTCTGCCTGGATCAGGAACTTAGCCATTTTCTTTTTACATCCTCTCTCTTTCCC